AGAAACATAGGAAAAATAAGCTACAAATGAAGGTCATTGGTGCCCTTTGGGAGGTCGTGTGGAGTAGGATTCAGGAGGCACTTCTCTAAGCACACCACAGCACACACACTGACTCTTGTAACCATGCTTAGGTTCTCTCCATATACTTCAAATTCCACAAATAATTAAAATCAACTAGCATGGGGGGGGGGAGGGGAACCAAGACGAAAGACGAACACTAAGAGATCTAAACTGTTACACATGGATAATACGACCACAATAAAAGTATAGAACAAAGACAAACTTTGGTAACTCTGGTCAACAGGATTTTGATTGGGTAATATAAATTGAACAAAGAACTGTGCTTATATGCTACAATGTAGTTGGTAAATATGTTTCTCACAGGAGCATAGGTTAGCAGTTCTGAAACTACTCTGTACTAGAACTGAACAAATAAGTAAATCTCTTGTAGATAACATCTGTATTACTCACTATGGGAGAAAGAAGATTCAAATAAAGAGAGTGTTGTAAACCTTGAGCTTTTGGATCTAATTGAAGGACCAGTATGAATTCATGGTGCCTAATATGCACATATTTATAAGTCTAGGCTCTGTCCACACAGAAAGCTTCGAAATGATGCCTCAGCAGCTACGAGCATGCGGAGCACCCAGATCTTGATCTCTAAACACCACTGTCCAAGAGAAGGAATCAGAGCTTGAGGAGAAAAGGGTTAAATCCAGGCTTGGGACAGGGAAAGCACAAGGCGAGCCTGGGCCAGTGTGGTGCTAGGAAGTAATGAAATGCTCAGAAAAGACAGGGCTTCTTAAAAGGACATGGGTGCCACACTGAAGGGCCAGCTGGCCAGACCTGTAACAACAGGAGCAGTAAATCAAGTAATGAAAGTCTTCACTTATAGCTCAAATAAAATAAATGAGTCCATATTGATATACAGAAGCAAATAAACAAGGTAAAAGGAAGAGCTCTTCTTTGCAATTGAATTCCAATCGATGCATGGTGAAGGAAAGAATGCAATAAAATCATGCGGCATATTAGTTGTTCCCATCAAAATCTATGAATGGAAGGTCTGGCCAGATAGCTCAGCAGACTAAAATGCCTGCTTAGGCAGAGCACAGTGGCCAGGGTTGGATCCCCAGTGTGACAAGCCGGCCCCGCCCCCTGGGCACACAGAAAGGGCCACTGAGACTGGGCATGATGGCACACACCTGTAATCCCAGTACTTGGGAGCCTGAAAACAGAAGAATCACTAGGAGTCTGATCTATGCAGTGAGACCTTGCACACCCTGTAGACCCTGTCCTAAATTGAAAAAGAAACCTATGAATGGACACGAACATTAGTGGATATAGGTTAGGACAGAAACAGAATCCTTACGTAATCCTAAAGTACCTCCCCACAAGATCCCAATTACAGAGTGAAAAGTTATGACTTTATCATCAGAAACCCTCATGATGCCACTTGGTGTCACCAAGTGTCCAGGGCAGCATCACTCTAAGAAGGCCTGTGGGTATCCTGAGTCCTTTGAAGTGAACTGCGAAGGACGACTTAATTTCTGTGGTATCACTGCCCCAAACAAAGAGCTCATATAATTGGGGGGAAGCGTCAGATGAAGGGGACGAGGTGACCAGCACTTTCCAAAGTGTGAAGGTTGGGGCTGGAGAGATGGCTCAGTGGTCTAAAGCACCTACTTAGAACAGGCTTAGCAAAAGCATCAGGGACCGCGGTTGGATCCCCCAGCACCACATGCCAGCCAGCCCCGCCCCCTGGTGGGCTGAGCTGGCCACACACACACACCACACTCTCTCTCTCTCT